CAGTAGTTGTTTATGATTGAGTACATATACATCATAATCATTAGTCCATTGTATAATCACATCTACATTGTGTAGTAAGACTTTATTTCATTGTACCTCATTGGCATTAGGGTCTCCATAAGGCTAGGCACGGTCCTGCCAGGAGTTGCCCTTCCTCGCCCCGTGACGTGCCCTCATCGGAACTATCAATCCGGGATTGGACGGACAACATCCTGCTAGCTTTGTAGAGGAACGACACACAGGCGCAATCACGTGGGTCTCACAACTTCGTGTCGTTGGTGTTACAATCCCAAAAGAAAAAAGAAAAGAAAACTATCATAGGTTGTTCATCCTTGAGCCACACAAAGACTCTACCGGTTACCATTAATTACTTACTTACTTACGAAGCCTTTGATCCCAAACAAGTTGGGGTAGGCTAGATATGAAACCCTTTCACGAGAACTTCCCAGGAGGTCACCCATCCTAGTACTACTCTCGCCCAAATGGGTTTCATACCCAAAAGACTGGCTAGTTTTTACGTTGGCTCGCCAAGCCTATCACAACCCTTAGATATGAAACTCTTTCACAAGGACTTCCCAGGAGGTCACCCATCCTAGTACTACTCTCGCTCAAATCGGTTTCATACCTATGGGACTGGCTATTTTTTACGTTGGCTCGCCAAGCCTATCACAACCCTCCTCCTTTACCCGGGCTTGGGACCGGCTATGCCTAGAAGACATAGGCGGAGTTACCGGTTACCATTAATTAAGGTATGAAAATTCTGTATAATTTCTCTGTTTTTTGTGGACATGTTGATGGCACTTTCGTCTGTACCAGTGTGTCATCTAGCTGATCATAGTTTTCTTTCTTCTTGGGTGAGTGATGGTTAATATAATGGTGTTTGAAAATTTCTATCCTGCCTCCGTAGAGATCTGGAATTCTGGATTAAAGTGCAGATTAGGCAATTACTATAATTCTTCCTACTCATAGAGAACCAACCTTCCTGATCAATCGACCTAACACATGGACTACGTGCGGGATTAAGAATAATCGCATATATGTTGACAGTAGCGAACTAATAGCGGCAGTGTCACATTACTTGTCAGTGACTTTTGTCATCTTACAGATAAACTACTGGTCCAGCACCGTGCTAGCTAGTGTGATTAGATCTACTCCAAGCACTAGCTAGCAGCAGAAAATCCAGAGAGCACATGCATCATGCGGTTGGATGGAAAGCAACGCATCAGACAACAGTCGAGGCGAGCGTTGATACGTGATGGCTTTCTCCTCCTTTTCTAATCGGTGGATTTTCTGGTAGTACGACGAAGGTGCCATGCTAATGGACTACCATGCATGAACCAGCAGGTCAAGAGAAAAGGGAGCTTTCGATCTTCCATTAGAGGCGTACTACTGCATGTGCTTGCGAAGCCGAGGGATTAATCGATGACAATAGCCACACGGAATGGTACGTACCAGCAGGCTGAATCCGGTGACGGCGGCGAAGGAGCTGGCCATGGAGGCGCCGGCGAGGGGCAGCTCGCCGAGGTGGCCGACGAACATGACGGAGATCATCTGGATGAGGTTCTGCATCAGGCAGCCGGCGATGAGCGGCCCGGCCAGCCACAGCTGCCGCTTCACCTCGTCGCCCACGGCCAGGCTCTCGTCCTCCCCGAGCTCCTTGCACACCGGGCTCCTCGGGAGGAGCGCTTCCTCGAGGCTTGCCTTCTCCATGCTGGACTCCGACGAGGCCTCCTCCCCCCCTCACCCTTGCTCTATGTGTTGTGTATGAGTGACTACCCGAGAGTGTGTGCCGGGGAGAGAAGGAGTCGCTCGTGTTCAGATTTCCGAGTATATAGACGCACGGCACGTGAGGGTCCGCAGTGACGTGGAACAAAGGGGTGGGTGTGCCCAAAATAGCCTCAAGTGTTTATTGCCCAATCGGATGTTCATTGCGTTTTTATACATCCAAAACAAAAGCCATCGGTCCATTTGTCCGTGCCAAAGCCCAAAGACCTCCAGTTTCGGCCTCCTTTTCATTTTTGTTGTTGTTGAAACTAGGCAAAAGATTTGGGAATTTTCTATATGACCCTCTGCGGAAAACCCTATTCGCCGCTCGCTGCGGCGAATTGTCGGGCATTCGCACAGGGCAAGGTTGCTAGCAACCAGATATGGGCCGGCCCAGTTCCAACTTTACACTGCGCCCGACCGGTTTGGAAACCTTCTAGTAGGTTCCCTGAACCGTTTTTTTCCTTTGTATTCTGTTTTTTCGTTTTTCGTTTTTTTTCTTCTTCTTTTTCTGTCTCTCTTTACTTTTACATTCTTTTCTTTTTCTTTTTTTCAGTTTCTTTATTTTTAAAAATATGTTCAATATTTCCAAAATATTCTAATATAACAAAATTTGTTCATCATTTTGAAATTTTTTCCTGTTTTTTATTTTGATAAGAAATTTAGAAAATCTTCAATTTTTTGCAATTATTTAGAATCTCAAAAATTGTTCGCTTCTTTTAAAAAAATGTTCCGTAATTTCAACCAAGTTTATCATTTCCAAAATTTGTTCAACATTTGAGAGAATGTTTGTCTTTCCAAAATTTATTCAAAAATTGAAAAAATATTTGGTAGTTTCAAATTTTGTTTTCATTCCAAAAATTTGTTCGAAAAATCAAATTTTGTTCATATTTTTAAAATTGTTCGCAAATACAAAAAATGGGGAATTTGAAAAATATTCGTTTTTAATATTTGTCCATAATTTCAAAAAATGTTCGAGTTTTCAAATTTTGTTCCTTTGTAATAAGAAATAAAAAATGGTCTCATTTTTCAATAATTTCACCAATTAAACAAATGTTTTCAGAAAAATTCTCTAATTCAAAAAAAGTTTGAGGAATTTCAAAAAATGTTCACTTTCAAATGAAATGTTCGCATTTTTTAGAAAATTTGTTCAAAAAATTTGAACGTTTGTGTTTTCCATTTTCACCTTTTTTCAGTAGAAATATACTGAAATTTCAAATTATGTTCACATTGTTTCAAAAACTGCTCCGTGTTTTCGAAAATTTGTTGAAATAATTCCAAAAACTATACAGTTTGGTAAACAATTAGGTTGCATTAAATATCCTGCTCCTGTAAAGTCTTAAAGGGATTGTGCTATAATTAGTCACTAATACTCATGCGATTTAGTGGCTAGCGTGTCTCCCCAGTGAACTGCATGTCATGTGTTCAAATTCTCCAAACAGTGTTTCCCTTTTTTGGTTTTTTTCCCCGGAATAAACACAGTTAGCCTGGTCCCTTCGAGTGGGCCAGCCCAATCTCGGTGTGCCTGTGCATCGGCGCGCTGTTGGACGCAGCAAGCGTCCAATAGGAGCTCCCACCCTCTGCGTCAAACAGTCGAGGTAACACATACAGCGATAGGCGAACGACTGGGCCGGCCCATCAGAGATAGCTAACGTGTAGTTTGCATCCGGTTTTTAGGAATCTTTATTGGTTTTGGGAGCCTTCTGGAAGGCATTTCCTAAACGGCGCCTTAAGCTCTCCTTAAAGGCCAACCCGTACAGGGCGCACACCCCCTCTCTCCCCGCTGGGCCGGCCCATTTCCTTTTCTTCTTTCTGTTTGTAACTGCAAAAAGTTCTCGAGAGGTGGGATTAGAACGAGGGACTTCATTTGTTCTGCGAAGCTGCAGCAACCAACCAGCCACCTCAACTAGTGTGACTTTTTCCATCGCTTTTTCCTCTTGTCTTCTTGTTTTCTTTCTTTTTTTTTCTTTTTCCGGTTTCGCGAACTTTTCTGAGTTCACGAACATTTTTTCGTGAACCTTTTTTGAATTTGCTAACTTTTTTTGAAAATCGATGAACTCTTTTCAAAATTTGATGAACATTTTTCTGAATTGATGAATTTTTTTGTGAACTTTTTTCACAATCGATGAACTTTTTGCAAAGCTGTGAACTTTTTTTCTGAATAGATGAACTCTTTTAAATTTTGATGAACTTTTTCTGAAGTCAATGAACTTTTTTTCAAATTCAATGAACTTTTTTCAAATTTAATGAAATTTTATTTGAATTTGATGAACTTTTTTTCAATTTCAATGAACTTTTTTCAAATTTGATGAACTAATTTCAAATTCTAGGAACTAATTTCAAAGTTTATGAACTTTTTCAAAATTTATGATCTTTTTTTCAATTTGTGAACTTTTTTTCTATAGGGATGACATTTTTTAATTCTTGGTTTTCTTTATTTTTATGAGTTATTTTCGAAATTTACATTTTAAAAAATCTATACAGCGTATATAATATATGTTATGTACAGTATTTTTTTAGGGGAGTTATGTACAGTATTTAAAGTGTTAAATTGTATAGATTCCTAATTGTACTCATCCTGTCTGCCGGTTGCGAAGGCAGGCTGCTACTCTACGGGTGCAGGGTTCGATTCCTCGTGAGCCCACAAGTTTTTCTTCGCGTTTGTTTTTCCAGCATGTTGGTGGGCCAGCCCGGTATGCACCGCGCGTGCGCGCCGGTTTAGCTCGGCGGCGCTTAAAACGCCAGTTAGGAGCTCCCTTCTGGAAGGTACCTGAACTGGTTTTTTTTTTTGACTGTTTTTTTGTTTCTTTTCTTTTTTTATTTTTCCTTTATGTGCTTGTTCAAAATTTCACAACTTCTCAGAAATTATTTGGGATTCAAATTTTTTTCCATTTTCAAATTGTTCGCATTTTTTTAAAATATTTGTGTTTTTAAATTTTGCTTGGGATTTTCAAAAAATGTTCCTGTTTCAAAATCTGTTCGCAAATTTCAAAAAAATATTCATTTTATAAAGTTTTGTTGGGGAGTTTGGAAAAAATTTCTGTTTCAAAAATTATTTGCAAATTTTAAAAAATGTTCATGTTTTCAATTTTTGTTCTGGAGTTTCAAAAAATGTTCGTGTGAATATAAATGTTTCCCAATATAAAGCAGTTGGGTGAATATAAACGTTTTCCAGTATTTATTGCCCAATCGGATGTTCATTGCGTTTTTATACATCCATCGATCCCAAAAGCCCTCTATCGTGTTGTCCCTCCCAAAGACCTCTAGTTTCAGCCTCCTTTTCATTTTATTTATTTATACAAGGTGTTTGTACATGCTCCTTTTTATCATGTTAGCATGGTACCCTTGAACAAACATTAGCGAAGAAGATAGAGAAAGCGGTGCCTTCGATTTCCCGGACGGCACCGGCCCGATGGTCCGTTGATGACGAGCTCCCGCATGTCCGGCCGCCACCGCTTTCTCCACCTTCTTCGCCTTGACGCGTTGACCTGGGCGGTGAGCGGATGCGACTTTGCCGGTGGCCACCTCCGGGTCCAGCAGGACGACAGACATCGAGGTGGAGGCAACGGGGGAATGAGATTTCACGTGGAAGAAGTGGCGGGATTATGAGAATGCCCATGCTTCAGGTTAATTATGGATGGGTCCATGGTGTCGGAGTCTGATAGGGCAGATATCCGGACTCCTTCAAACCTCTACCAATTCAGTGTACATTTGCTAGTTTTTGAATGCCTAGACCAGGCCAGACATCTTATATGAACGCAGTTGGGTGGCTAAAAATGTTGGAACACATTTGGGGTCGATTAGGTGAGTTGCCCTAAGATCTAACTAGCGGCGGAAAATCCAAGAAGCACATGCATGCATGCGTCGAGACGGAAAGACACTATCACCTCATCAACACAACAGCCCGGACGAACATTTGTACGTGATGGCTTTCTCCTTCTTTTGTAATTTTGATGATTGATGCACGTAAGAAAGATGAATACTTGGAGACGAAGCGATTCGGCTCCCGAGCTCAGCTACTTCTGAGCGTAAACAGTAAAAAATAATAGCAAAAAGATTTTGAATATTTTGCATAGAGGAGATGCTCGAGTGCACGATGTCCGTGCCAAATTTTGAGGTGTTTGAACATCTGAGTAGCTCTAAAAAAACCATGTCCACAAGAAAGTTTGAAAAAACAGACTGTTCGAATCCGATATTGTCTTTTTTGTCACGAGCTTTTCAGATGTCCGAACACCACACCTTCACCATATTACTCCCTCCGTTTTAAAATAAATGACTCAACTTTGTACTAATTTTAGTACAAAATTGAATCATCTATTTTGGAACGGAGGGAGTACAACAGTTACAACGTGCCTTTGTAATTTTGAACTTGCTACTTCTTCACACTTTAAGTAATATATTCAGATGGAAAACTCCCCCCACCCCGGGTGATTCTAAAAAAAAAAGAAATAAAGACAGAGAAGTCACCAGGTCAAAATGAACCAACTATGTTATGTTGAATAAAATAGCATGAAACAGCCGGTCCACGGAAGAGAAAACAAACACAGAACCTGCGCGTCGTCCCTCGAGGGATCCGGGAGTCTACTTCAAAGCGATCAGTATTTTGTCTGAAGTCGACGGATGGAATAAACGAGAATGGCCTCGCGGAATGATACGTACCAGCACGCTGAATCCGGTGACAACGGCGAAGGAGCTGGTCATGGAGGCGCCGGCGAGGGGCTGCTCGCCGAGGTGGCCTACGAACATGACGGAGATCATCTGGATGAGGTTCTGCATCAGGCCTCGCACGATGAGCGGCCGCCAGCCACAGCTGCCTCTTCACCTCGTCGCCCACCGCCAGGCCCTCGTCCCCTCCGATCTCCTCGCACGCCGAGCTGCTCGGGAGCAGTGTCGCCTCCTCCATGCCCATGTTGGACTCCGGCCGGCGCGGAAGAGTACTCAATACG